GATCTATCGATCAGAGACTGTTAAGAATGCACTCAGTGAACTCCGCAGAGGCTATTTAAACTGAAATAGTCGATATATGAGGGGGGTGTAATAAGTGTATTTGTCCCGGGTTAGGGGTAGGATAATGATAGGAGTCAAAGCATTTCGTCTAAAAAAGCTGAGTGAATTGCAAACGAACATTACTTGTTGTGTGAAACACATTGGCACCGATTCGGAGATGTGATATTTACGGCATTTTGTAACACAATGTTTGTTAATAAGTATAGTCCGCAAATCTTTCTTTTGTATTTTCTGTTTTTGTAGAGCGAAATTTGATAAGAAATTTGTTTTGGTGTTGCCGATCTAATCTTATTGTTGGTCCTCGAAATGAGAGGGATAGCGAGTAGTGAAGAAAGTCGCAGACCGCCGACGAAGACAGAAATGCGTGGTTCAGGACAGAGTAGAATTTTCGGTTTGTAATTAAGTGAGCTCGGGGAAGCATCATGTCTGCGAGGTGTATAACGAAAATAGCTTCAGCTCATAGTAAGTTATCATTAAGAAAAAAACTGCTTTGATCAGAAGTAAGTTCACCAGTTAGGGAATGCACGCCGAAGCAAGCGACTGATATTGGCGATCCCTTTCTAGCCAAGGGATAAGTGAATCAGCATGATGAATCCTACTTGAAACTTCGATGATCTTTAAGTAAGAAATTACAAGGTTTTTCATGTCACATTCTTGTAAAAAATTCATAATTTCTAGTTTAAAAGTCATTAAAGTCTTATTTAAGGATAAGTAGAACTCGTGAGCATCATGAAGATTTTTTTTCTAAACAGCTTTCGCTACAACACTTTTGCCTGAGAATGTGGCCTACTACCAGAATCCGTCGTAAAGGTCTTCCAGAAATACTTTGAATTCTAAAAACACATGGAAATGATTAAGAATTTATTTTGTCGACAAAAACTCTACAGAGGACAACGAAAACTTCGGGATATATACAACTTAACATGCTCTTTCGAACTGCACACGAATCGAACTTCCAACTAGAAATCGGAACTGTTTGCAACTATTTTAAACATGAGCTAAAACTTCATTGAGAGTAAAAATTCGGGATATTCATTTCAAAGTGTGCCTCTACAAATTGATTAAATAATCCACAGGGGCATTCCGCTGAAACAGTATCGTTCTTTGCGGAAAATTTGTTCTATTCTAGTATGCTATTCACAATGATGATCTATCCTCTCTCGGATTCTTTCAACTTAAAAGCTGCAATGAACAGATCCAATAGTCATGACGAAATTCTCAAGGAGAAATGTAGTTACAAGACGAGCTGTTTTTAACTCCCACAAGAATAGTTGGCAAAAATGGTCTTTACTCTGGTCTTCTTTGGTTTTCCTTGATTGGTGGATTACTTCCATTTCTGTTATGGCTTATTAGTAGAACCTATTCCAACATTACGTGGCTAAATTATGTTCATTTTCCTCTTATGCTTTATGTGGGCAATATGATACCTGATCCAATTGCACCGGAATTTGTCATCTCATGGATATTAGTGGGTTTTATATTTAATTCGATTATTCGACATTGGTGACGGGAGAAATATGCATTGTTATTTTCAATTGCGATGGACAGTGGTGTAGCTATTTCTTCGACAGTTATCTTTTTTGCATTATCACAGAGAAATATTCAATTTCCGAGTTGGTGAGGACTAGGAGGTGATTTCAATGATGGATGCCCATTGTCTCACACTAATTATTCGGGTCAATAACTTTCATTTTCATATCTTTTTATTCCACTAAAACTTAACCTGAGTTCACTTTCCAGTAACTTTTTAATGAATTTTTTCGTAAGGAGGACTTACTCGATTTTCCAGTGAAAATCATTTTGTGTCTGAAACTGCTAAGTAACACTTTTTTAGGTGAAGTTCAAGATCGAGATCACGCATTTTGAATTTGTCATACATGAAATTAGCAAAATGCAATTCAATTGAAAGTTTTTATTGATGGTAATATTTCGTTCAGCCAGGAGATGGCAGTGGGTTCAAATTTGTAGCGCGTCAAAGTTCCAAAAAATGACTGTTTTTTTCATCTAAAAGCTGATTGTAACCAAATGTTTAATATCATTTGTGTTCAAAATTTACTTGATATTGAAAGAGCTGTATTGAAATGTCACTATCTGTATGATACATTTCTTGTGCCCTATCTAGACATACTATCAACAACAAATAATTCAAAAAAAAGGCCTGCACATTATGAGCATATATTTAAAGGGTATTTAGACCCGATAAATACATTTGATAGTATAAATTTGTTACGTGTTGATCCAAATAATCTACGGTTAAACGCTCAGCTATTAAACGATGCCATTTTGTTTGCTAAATATATTAATTAATGAAAAAAGATTGATTATAATCTAAAACTACCCATAATGATGATAGATTTACAAGGTTATCACGCAAAAATAAAATAGTCATTTGTATGATTTGTCGAAACAAATGGAAATTTGTTAAAAATTATGGCTGAAATCAGTTGTTTACTCGATACTTTAACACATGTTCAATAATTAAACATAAAACATATTGTACAATACCAATTTTAAATATGACTATGTTGACCTGTTGATTTCCACGGATGCTATCGAGTATTTCGGGTGTTAGACTACCCAGTTACAGTTTCTCAAGACTATCTGTATGTCTTTCTTCTATTTGTTACGATATTATAAACTGCAGCGATCATCGACATGTGCGTTCGAAGCGCTGTCTATTGGGAAACGAGCTTCTGTAACATGAATGATCAGCCGACTTGTTCACAATATTCAATCGATATGGGCATACACGCTCTTATCAAGCGATAACTAAATTACATCAAGATGTGGCGAAAGATGAAGAAGGCGTTGTATTAAAAATACAAAATATACCACAAGATGCACGATGAAAAGCTCATGTGCTTTTTACATAATAAATTATTTACCAAAAGAAAAAGAGGATAGAGGTGTATGGAAAATTTTTGCCGCCACTGTAATAACACGACTCCCCAAAATAACAAGCGAATGAAATCTTCTTCAACGAAGCTAGATAGAAGGTTTCGACCAGAAACCTTTTCTTATAGTTATATTATTTGCTGATGTTAATCAGTCATTGTTACTATTACTTGACTACTATGATAAGAGCTAGCTGAAGTCAAATAATGCTACTTTTAACTTATAGAACTTTATTTTTCTAAAACTTCACTTACGCTGGCGTCGACTAATCAATGAACGATCAAAAGTATTAGTGTTAACATGTCAGTATGTAGGGAAACGTGTTCTGTTCAATTTGATCGACAGAATGAGTTAGATTCCTCACATCGTAGTAAACCATTTTTCTCCTACGGATGAGTATTTTTTGAAAATGCGACAATATACTTAGTCCATATATCTTGACTGATATTCTATTTGCCGTCGCACCATTGCATACTTATACATTGCATGTACCCAACGTCCAATTGATGCACACGCCTTGGACGCTTTTGTAATGTTATGCACTTGTAGCTCTTCTTGGTCCATATAAGGCTTGAGGTTTGTCAAACATTCATCGCTAATACTGTCTTTATCGTACGATAGTAGCATTGATAAAAACTGACTCCTACCTTTCATCAACCGTTGCCAATTACTCGCTGATGTTTTATCATTATTGTGTCTCAGTAAGACGCAAACAGCTTCCATAACCATTTTAACAACCCTTGGGGGACGACGTAGTGTTCTTAATTCGTTTATATCTGCAGCGCTCAAGCTGTCTAAACTTGATAAACAAGCTAAAACCAAGACAGTCGTTGAAATATAAGGAAAAAAGAAGTACAACTGAAATTTACCCGTTAAAGACATTAGTAATTCTTCTTTTGTTTGCTTCCATTTGATTTTGAACGACAATAGTTGTGTTTTGAGTATATGGAGACGTTTTTCATCATTAACATCGTCATTTGTCAATAAAACTGATTGTAAATGAGGATAAAGAATATGCACATTTTCCGTCAATGGTGTTGGAAATAATTGTTCTAATTGTTTTGGATCCAACTGCATGGTTATCGTCCCGTCACGCATGAACGGTAAAATTACATTTAGTTTTTCTTCCTCAAATATTGATACATCAATGTGTTCCAGAAAGGGGTATGCTATACAGTTGAGGCGATGATTAATGTTAAAGAATGAGTAAATGATATCTGCCGATGATAGATATTTGAAAACAAAATCCAGTAACACTTCGTTCGGCAATAATAACAGTGTAGAAGCCGATGATAGTACTTCTAAATCCACAGAAGAAAGTATGACGTATGACAACAGAAGAGCAGAATCTGTCGGTGTGTGCGGTCGAGCACATATGAAAAATTTTCCAACGCAAAAAAGTGTACAGTTTTCTACATTGGAACTTTTAAGAAATTTCCAACGTGTAGACATCCCGGAAATATGCTTAGACGAATTTAGAGATTTCCTTGTTTCTTGATACAGGACTCGCTATGCACTAAGTCATTTTATCTACATCTTCTCCATCTAATTTTTGTTTCAGCATACAGTTCTGCTATAATAAACGCAGACATACATATTTTCTTAGTTTATTACTCTTATCTCTTCTTCCTCCATCCTGCAGGATGGTAAGGAATCCATACTGGAAACTGGTAAGGAAAAGTGGCAGGATCCTGCCACTTTTCCTTACCAGTTTCCAGTACAGTTGCGCGCTATGTGTTTTCGATGTTCTGATTATTTGTTTCTTTCTTATAATAGGTAGATCTGCAATGGTCATGGATGTTGTCTTCTAATCAGATATGTGAAAACCAAGATCCAGTGATCGAAGCACTTTTTCTTCTCTACTATTTACTTAGTTTATTCAAATTTCTATCTCTCTTTCTGTCTAGTTTTCTTTGGAATGTCGACTGTCATCGGTGACAGAGATGTCCATGGCGACGCGGCAACGTATTCTTCTTGACCGTCGCGGTGCGACAGCGGCAGCTTATTTTTCTCTACTGTCGCGGCGCGGCAGCGGTTGAATTTTTGAAAAGATTTATTTAATTTTTGTCAAAAAAATCTATAATAAAGCTATTCAAATCCTAGCACCATGCTGAGCGCTGGAGTGATAGTACTATTTATAAACTAGTTTTTTCGTGGCTGTTGATATTTCTTTTCTAGACGTTATATAACATTCTAACAACAGACATACATTCTATATATTTATATGTTCTTCTTTCGTTTGTATCTTTTTTTTGATTTTCTCGCTGAGTCATCTGTATTCGTCTTATATATGTGCCGGGGTCATTCTTTCTTTCGTTCTCTCTCTTCTCGTCCATTTTGCACCATTTTGCACCAACTTTTTTTTTATGACAAAAATGTCGATCTTATTACACAAGCGACAGATAAAGAATTGACTTGGAATATTCACATATGATTAATTGATCAAAATATTTTAGATCTAAATATCATATATATATAAAAATTCACTTCTTAGTGACTATATATTATGCCACGTACTCTCAATTTTTTATTTCTATCTCTTTCTAATCTTAAATATAAGTTATGCAACTGGAGAGCAGCTGTCTAAGCTGCTTCCCATCGCCTCGCGGCACCGATATTTTAAGAACATTCGCGTTGCGGCAGCGGCGCGGTGCCAAATTTTGGAAACGTCAGGATCAGTTTTTTCGAAACCTTAGCGGCGCGGCAGCTGCTGATTACTAACTGCGATGGACATCTCTGATCGGTGAGCGACTGTCTCAGATACATTTTAGATATTGTAGAAAAATGACCTCAAGATATACCAGTAAACAGCTTGCGCACTGCTTTTACTGTTCATGCTTAATTAAAAACTAAAAACTCACTAAAAGCACGACCAAGAAGCATTTCGAAAATCATTTTCCCTCTAATACGTTTAAGTTGACAGCAGCAGATATCAATGTAAAAACGTTTTCCTAAACTGTTCAATGCCCTCATGATCATCAAAAACAGATGATGTAAAGGTCGAAAATCGAACAGAGTTAGTGCATGTCTTAAGCATTGAACAAATCTACAGCGGGTAATTGCTTTACCACCTGATTCTCTAAAAAATGGTTCATCGTATGTTATAGCTGTACCTCTCACTCTGGGATATCTAAGCAGTGTGATGATACTGGGCAGATATTACTACCAGTAACAAATAAACATATTGCGACTCCTCTTCTAAAGGGATCCGTTTTTGATGTTTTCAATATCACTGTCGCCGCTTCTTGATTCGCTAGTAAATCTACGTCACACGCAGTCACGTATGAGTTAGAATAGAATTTATCTGGGAACAAGTCCACTGCATGAAAGAAGCCAAAAATGTCATCGAAAAGGCCGCTTCCAACCGGCATTCCAATACTTAGACTGCAAAGTGCAAAAGGATTCTTACCACCAATTTGATCGTTACTTGCTGATGCTGATGTCGTAGTTGCTGGCAATAGACGTTCGCTGGGTAATATTGGAGTACCGGTAGTTAATATACTTGCTAACGGAACATCTGGTGATATTGATTGTGGTATATTTGTAATGTGCTGTGCCAAATCTGCTTCAAGAAAGACTAAATAATAAGAAATATTGAAAGTTATTGTCACGCTAAAATCCGAACTATGCGCGTGACCGACAAAGACTATTTGAGCGTCCAAGATTTTTCACTCATGGACCTATGTTAATGTGTAAACGTTAATTTTTATGTACGGAACTTTGATGTGGTCAAATGCGTGTGAAGATTCAGCGCTTGCACGTGTGTAGGCTAATGCTGGAAAAACGAAATAATCTATTTCTAAGGTTTGACTAGATGCATCAGCATCTGGTGGATCCATAGCAAAGAAATCATCCAGTAAATGAAATATATCAACTATACCATAGCTGTTACTGCAATCCAGACAACTGCTTCTGCTAACGAATCGAAAATCTTTGAAAAACTTCTTGAGTGGAAAGGACGTCGAGCATAAAAGTGGTATTTCCCGATCCACTTAACTCCATACTATTTCCACAATGAAGGATGCAGTGTATCAGCTTAAACGCATCTACTGCATCGCACTTGCACATCAAACTACCTTTTCCAAGTGAATGAATAAGCTGAGTAGCATCGGCAACCGTTACATATTTCAACGAACATCCTTCTTTTTCTGTGAGTTCATTCAAGCTCTTATTTTCTGGATCCTCGTGAGGAGCACTTAAATCAACTATCGATCGGTACTTTTTAAAATATTTTCCTTCAACAAGTCCTAGTGGGTTTAATCTACATATCTTCCAGAGCGGCACATCAAAGGGACCGAGAACATACCCTTTCGAAATTTCTTCGTCTAATAACCTTCTGACTATATCTTGTTCTTTGGTTGAACAACGCAAGTTTTTGCATTCAGACGGTCTTTTTGATAAAGATGGGACAACAGTATGAAATCCTTCTCTCAAATCGGTTAATAGATATGCTGTAAAGTCTTTATCTGGGTGATTAATGAAGAGAACGATGTACGAATAGGAAGATGTACCACCGAATCGAGTTGCCAGTTTAACCACATTTGACAAATAAATCATCAGCTCTCGACCTCTGTTTGGATGAGTGTCACACATGGTGTTGATCCTATTTATATACCCTCATAAGGAATTAGTAATTGGGCTAGATTAACATCAGCACCTTCAACTATCGCTCGCCTAAGTTTTAGAGGAACATATTCTAATGTACCATCATCAGTATATAATGATGGTAAGCCACCAGTGCTATCATGGAATACTAATAGATTAGTGAAAAGTGTAAAAAGATTCTTACCACCAATTTGATCGTTACTTCCTGAGGCTGATGTCGTGGTTGTTGGCAATAAACGTTCGCTAGGTAATATTGGAGTACCGGTAGTTAATATACTTGCCAACGGAACATATGGTGATATTGATTGTGGTACATTTGTAATGTGCTGTGCCAAATCTGCTTCAAGAAAGACTAAATAATAAGAAATATTGAAAGTTATTGTCACGCTAAAATCCGAACTATGCGCGTGACCGACAAAGACTATTTGAGCGTCCAAGATTTTTCACTCATGGACCCATGTTAATGTGTAAACGTTAACCTTTATGTATGGAATCGACTTTGAAAACATATCAGAAAAGCTCAAATCATCGAGTGCTCTGAGATTATACCTACTAGCCATTGGGGTAATAGTAAAACATGAAGACACCCACAGACACCTACGGACAGTACACATGTAGTCACTGACAGCCACACAGACAGCAATAGAGGCATCTACAGACAACCAAAAATAACTATAGGGACATGCACTTCTGTGCGGCTCCCATGTCCGTAGAAGTGAGTGTCTGTGTAGTTAATGTTGGTTGCTGCCTGTGTAGCTGTCAGTGCCTATCTCTGGATATCTGTCTGTTGTCTGTAGGTGTTTCTAAGGGTCCGTGGATGTCTCGATGTTTTAGTATCACCCATAGCCATTGC